TACTATAAATTATGTACATTTTTAACTTTCACAGTTGTTATTTTTAATTTTGTTGCATTGTGATAAGAATGTAGTGTTGGTGTTAATTCTTTGGAATGTATTAGGGTTTCCTTTTATCAGAGATCTACATGGTTTCTTCTGTGAAAGCTTTATATACACTTTAAAATAATCTGTATTTTCTATTTGGTGGATAGGAACTTCTCTATAAAGCTACTATCCTAAGTTTATTAATTATATTCTTCAGATTTTTCTCATGTTTTGCTTATTTAACCTGCTTCATCTGCTTTTGAGAGGCTATTATAAATTTTCAACTGAAATGCTTATTTTTTTTGAAAAATCGAGTTTTGACATAGATACAGTAAAGTACAAAAATGCAGGTATACAGCCCAGTGAATTATCACAAAGTTGAAGGACTACTGTAATTACTACCAAATTTGTTGAATAGTACATGACTAGGACCCTGAAACTGCCTTTGTGTCGCCCCCAATCACTAGAATCCAGTTATCTCCAAAGACAACCATCAGAGTTTTTACCCTATAGAGTCATTTGCTTGTTTTTTTAATATGTTAATTAAATTATATAGTATTTTATTTTGTATACATTGTCTAATATTATGTGAGAGTTATCCATATTATTGTACACAGCTGTTCCTTTTTTACTGTCTTGTTGTATTTCACTGAATAAATACAATACATTTGTGTTATTTTTATTATTTGGCATTATAAATAAAGCTACTATGAATATTTTTTATCCGTATCTTTTGGCATATGAATGTCCTGCATTTTTTGGTTTATATTCCTAGAAATGGAATTTATTGGTCAAAACATATGTGTACATTTAACTTTAGTAGGTTTTACTAGTGCCACACTCCTACTGTTCCAGATGTTGTCATCTTTCTCATGTGGGCCACTATGATCGTGGGAATTAATACCACATTGTAGTTTTAGTTTTAATTCCCCTAATGACTAAAGTGGTTTTGCAGTTTTTAAAAAAATTCATTGGCCGTTTATCAAGTGTCTGTTCAGATTTCTTGTGGATTTTCTATTAGGTTGCCCATCTTATTACTATTGATTTATAGGAATTTATTATTTATTCTGGATATGAGATCTTTGCCACTTGGAAATACTCCCTCTTATTTTATGGTTCACTTTTACAATCTCTCAATCATGTCTTTTGATGAACTGAAATTCTTAATTTTAATATATTTCAATATATCTTGTTTTTGTGATTAGTACTTTGTATGTCCCTTTTAAGAAATCCCTTCTTATACCTGTTGAGAACATATGTTATGTTTTTTCTAGATCAGCACTGTCTATTAGAGATATAATGGGAGCCAGATATTTGTACCACATATATACTTTTACCTATCTATTTATTTGAGAGAGGGAGAGAGAGAGAAGGCGTGGGGGTGGGAGGGGCAGAGGGAGAGAGAGAAAATCTTAAGTAGACTCCATGCCTACTGTAGAGCCCAACATGGGGCTCGATTTCACAACTCTGAGACTGTGACCAGAGGTACAATCAAGAGTTGGATGTTTGACTGAGCCACTCAGGTGCCCCATGTACCACATGTATCATTTTAATTTTAAGTAGCCTCTTTAAAAAAATAGCAAAATAAGTAAATCGGAGAAAGACAACTATCATATGATCTCCCTGATATGAGGAAGTGGAGATGTAACATGGGGGGTTAAGGGGGTAGGAGAAGAATAAATGAAACAAGATGGGATAGGGAGGGAGACAAACCATAAATGACTCTTAATCTCACAAAACAAACTGAGGGTTGCTGGGGGGAGGGGGGTTGGGAGAAGGGGGGTGGGGTTATGGACATTGGGGAGGGTATGTGCTATGGTGAGTGCTGTGAAGTGTGTAAACCTGGCAATTCACAGACCTGTACCCCTGGGGATAAAAATATATTATATGTTTATAAAAAATAAAATAAATAAATAAATTAAAAAATAGGAACAGGTGAAATTAATATGAATGACTATTTTACACATATAGCGCATCCCAGTTGGCCTAGCCATGCTTCAGTTGCTGATAATCCCATGTGCTAATAATCCCATGTGCTAATAATCCCATGTGCTAATGAGCATCATAAGTCAACCCATTTGAGAACCTTTAATGATACGCATTTACATTTAGCTCTACCACCCATGTCGCTGTTTTGTGTGTGTGGTGTGAGGTAGCATATCTAAGAAGGAAACTATGTAGCTTCTAGAATTGGAGGAAAATCTTCAGGACCTCCAGCCAACCTGGGTCCCTTTGGAACGAAATCAGGCCTTGATGATTCGGGACTTTGAAAGTGTCTCTCATCTCTGCATATTCTCTTTTGTTTCATGAGGACTTACTCAACATGGCAGGGCACATGGTCACCATTTGTTCTGGGTCACATCTTTACAACTTCCACTGGTTGAGAAAAGATAAATCTCATTCTGTTTAGTAATGTCCTGGCTCAGGTTACATTCCTATACCTGGCAGCCAGGAAGAGGATTATTTTTGGCCACATCATTACATGCACATATTTATTTTTATTTCTTTATTTTTTTAGCATTTTTTAAAGATTTTTAAAAAAATTTTTTTATTTATTTGTTAGAGAGATCGAGCACGGGCAGACAGAATGGTAGGCAGAGTCAGAGGGAGAAGCAGGCTCCCTGCCGAGCAAGGAGCCTGATGTGGGACTCGATCCCAGGACGCTGGGATCATGACCTGAGCCAAAGGCAGCCACTTAACCAACTGAGCCACCCAGGCGTCCCTATATGCACATATTTATAATCATGGGACAGAAATTATTACCAGAAAAGGGAACCAACCACAGTATATCACATTTATTTCTTTCCTAAGATACTTTTAGAGAGCTGGGGGTATCCATTGTGCATAAAGAGCACTAGCTAAATATTTGTAAATAGCACTAATTTGACAGGAATGCTTAAAATGCAGCCTGAATTAGGAGGAATATAAATGCACTGGCTTAGGACTCATTTTTATGATACACACGTATTTGAAGACTATAAATTCTTAGTTTATAAAGTTTAGGACTGTAGATTATAAGAGTTCATTAATGTTGATGTTTACTCAACATTTTCTTTAGAACCTGAAATTTCTGCAAATTTGTGGGTGGTTGGAAGAGGTATGTTGTGTCTCTGGTGATTATCTGCAGCTTTGCAAAATTTTGAATATGGCTTTCTTATATGATAGTACAGTCTCTTTGGTCATTAGTCAAACTTCAAGTTTTTCATAATACTACAAAAGAGGAGAAAGTTATTTGATATTAAAAGAACATTTTTTCTTCTTTTATAATTTACCTGACTTCCTGTCTGAGTGGGGTCATAGTCTCAATTTATTAGTTCAGTCATTTAGCACAAAATTTAAAATCAAAGTGTCGTTCCGTGTGAGGTAAAGATAAAATTATTCCCTGGGATTTCTAGTGTTCTGATTTTAACTTATATTTCTTCAGCACTAGTCAGTTCTCTTTTGGGGGGAAACAGAAAACTCTCTCCTCACTTGTGTGAGGGGAAGGACAGGTAGGGAGAGGAGAAGTGAAGAAGAATCTTCCTTTAGCTTCCTTTTTTTTAGGAGTGTCCACAGATTAAATGAGGGACACTACCCATTTTTACTTTATGAAAGGCGTAACAACTAGGAAAAACTTTTTATTTTGGCTGTGTAAAAACCCTGACTTGGGATACCCAAAGCAAATTAGATAGGATTTAGGTGGGATAATATACAAAGGAAGTGATAAAGGCTCAATTATTTGGATGGAAGAGCATGGAGGTGTTAGAATTTTCTCAGGTGCCAAAATAACAGAAATGATTCTGACCTCTGTGCTACTTTCCTAGTGGCTGTTTCTTTCCTGCACCCTCCTGAACCTCCCACCTACCTCATCTCCACCTCTCTCTCACTGTTTTTGTTTGTTATTCCTGTTCAGACATTTAGAAGTGTATTTAATGGTGTTTGTAAATGTAGCTTCAGGGTAATGATAATGTTAAATTCTCACTGAATCCGAAACCGTCTATAACCACAGCCAAAAGGAATCTAGGAATTTTTTTTTTTGTTGGTTTTTGTTTTATGGACACTAAATTAGGAAAGTTAGTGGGGTTTAAAATGTTTTGTCTTTCTTACTGTTTTGAATAAACATTTTAACATTAACTTATATTTCCAATTCATTTTAAATTTATAATCATGATATAACAAAGTTTATACACTTTAGAAAAAAAAATCATACATATCACACTTCCCAAAACTATTATTCTATGTGTTCCTTTCCAGGTTTTTGCTATATGCATAGTTTTATGTCATCATAATCATTGCTTAATTTTGAAGTTAATTTTTTTGGAAATTCAATGAAACAACATGCAAATGAAGAATATGTATCTTTTACTTAGTTTTGGGGATCACCTAGAGTTTAGGAGAATCAGAAAATGGCTATTTTCTGGAGTCACTATGATTTTTAAATCTCTTACACTCAGGTGGTGGTTTTAAATACACATTTATTACAGGTAGCAAGAAATCATTTTTATCTTTTAATGTTGAGTAAGTCTCACAACTACTCTGTGCATGACAGCAGCTATGCAGAATCATCCTAGCTTTGTAAAAACTAGTTTTGACTATATTACTCAGATACCCTCCCCCCTCCAAAAAAAAAAAAAAAAACTCAGCAGGAAATGTTATGAAATCTAAAAACTTTTTGTCATAAACAATGCAGCTTTGGGTTGTGTTCTATTATCAAAGCAGTTGCATGTGAATTGTTTCGCCCGTAAGTTAAAAAAGAAACTCCTCACAAAGCAGTGATCATTTCCTGTTTCATTTTTCATTTTCTTTTCGCATGAGGCTTTTTGTCCCTCACTAGGAGTTGCTTTAAATCTCTGAGAAGGTCTGTTCCGAATTTACTACTTCTGGATTGGTTAAGATCCCTTTAAAGTGTGTGCTTTGTTCTCTGAAAAGCTTAGGTCAGTTGAGCAACATGCTGCTGTTTTTTTTTTTTTTTTTTTTTTTTTTTTAAAGAGCTGAGTAATGCTGGAGCCTTCTCATGTGGCTGATGCAAACCTGGAGAATTTGCATCATCATTAAGCTGGAATAAGTTGGTGTGACAGGCAGGAGCTTAAATACCAGCCCCTGAGGAAGCTGAGCTGGTTTGTAATCACAGGGCGGTAACAGCAGCAGCAGCAGCAGAGGTAGTCTGAGGTGGTGGAGGAGCGGGAGCACCATGAACACACAGGTGTTTCTGAGGAGTAATTAGATAGCTGTGAAGGAGAAAATACACCTTTGAGTTCCTACCTGTGAACACAATAGCGCTGAAAGAGACAGTCTGAAAGCAGAGAGGAAGAGGTTTGGTCAGTCCCACCAAGAGACACAAAGTTGAAAGTTTGGGGGTTTTATTTTTATTTTTTTTCCTCCATTTCATTTTTTCCTGTGTGTCACTACAATGGTCAGAAAGCCTGTCGTGTCCACCATCTCCAGTGGAGGTTACCTGCAGGGGAATGTTAATGGGAAGCTGCCTTCCTTGGGTGGCAAGGAGCCCCCTGGGCAGGAGAAAGTGGTGCTGAAGAAGAAAATCACTTTGCTGAGGGGCATCTCCATCATCATTGGCACCATCATTGGAGCAGGAATCTTCATCTCTCCCAAGGGCGTGCTCCAGAACACGGGCAGCGTGGGCATGTCTCTGATTATCTGGACAGTCTGTGGGGTCCTGTCACTATTTGGTGAGTGCAGCTTCTTCTCTGGGGGGTATGTCTGTGGTGCTGGGCAGTTTACTTTCTGAGAAAGCAAAGAGTCATTTTTAAGGAGTGAATGAATGGCACAGACAACGTCAAACTTTCTGATTTTTGTTTAAGTGTACGAACTGCCCAAACACGGTGTTCACTGTTGGCAGGACCCTGAATTCCACCACGTTGCTTCCTGCAGCCCGGAGTCCCTTTTCCTGACTAAGACAGACTGTTTTCTGACTTCTGTGGCGGTGAGAGCGAAAGCTAACTGATGACCCAGTAAAATCCGTGCGAACTTGCTGTACCAGGCAGTATGCTTCCTTACGTATGTTTGAGGCGTCCTGGAAGCCGGCACGCTGAATGAAACACCTGTGAAGTGAAACCTGGCGTGGCCTATTTAGACACAGAACTGAGCATTCAGCAGAAGTGTTATCGTGTTTTTATTGCCAAAACAAACCAGGGGGGATGGGGTGCAGTCTTTTTAACTTTTTAACCTCGCGTGCTTGTCAGTTCCTAATGTTTTCTCAACAGTCCTTGCCATGATACTGTGTGTGGTGGCGCATAACTTGATTCCTGTGATAGGTGGGAATATTGCAAGGGTCTGAGCATATTTCAATTTTTTTTTTCAATCTTTTATCTCTCCCTAACACCTGTAAACTTTTAAAGTATAAGCAGTAAAATTGGAATTGGGTGTTCTCTTGCTGTGCTCTGTTTCCTTCATTTATAGTTCATTGGGTCTTCAGGGACATGGATAACCTGTCCACCTGTCCACCTGTCCACCTGTCCGCCGAGTCAGTCTGAACAAAACCACTACTAGAAGTATGATGATCAATTTTGCTTCCAAATCTAGATCTCTTTTATTGATTGATGTTAATAGCAAATAATAAATGTCTTTTATGGGGTTGGCAAATTACTAGAAACCTACCTGAGGTAGTTATAAAGGTGACAAAAACTGGTGGACGGTCAAAAAAATTTAAGTTTTGCTTACACTGTGCGGTAAATGTCTAAGATATATTTGCTCTTTTGTGGCAACTAGTTTTTTTTTAATTCTAAAAGGCTCTACTCTGTAAAGGTACTAACCCAAAGCTTTGCCCTAACTCTAGGGTTGAGTCCTATCTCTTGGTCCTACGTGTACCCATCCCTCCATTCTTAAGGCCTTGTTATGTTTTAATGTGTTACTTTGGGTGTTCATCTAGAGAACCTAAATATCCATTATTAGGAAGAAAGTATTTCAAGGAAAACTTGTCGAAACAGAGCCTTAGTATAGAAAGATCTGTAGAAGAATTGTTTTTTAGTTTTTAGAAAGTTTGTGGTATTCTGTGTGGGTCTGGCATGTATATCAATAGACAAACAGAAACCTAACTCTTGTGCTTTTTAAATGACTTTGTGCACCCTCAGCCTTTAATTGTCTATAAATACTTGGTAAATTGAGAATAAATCGATGTCTAATAGGAAAAAAATAACCAATTTCCTGGAGTTTTCATACTTCTATACATGCAGCTCCTACTCTGTGATCTGATGCGTGTACAAAATAAAAAGTTATTCAGGTATAATAAAATGGATTGGGCTGAGGATTGAACTAGTTAAAATGCTATTGTGCTATGAAAATATGGTTCTGTGTAAATATACCAACTCAAGCAGATGCTCAGGGGAAAAAAAATTAAAAGGACTAGCTAGGTGACACTTGAGTTGATATTCTTTGGTTACTAATCACAGGGCGCATGCTCCTGTATTAATCTACTTATCTGTATTTACATTTTGTCATTTAAGTTCCTAGGAGTTTTTGACAGGAGTACCTTCCTAACAGGAAGCAAAGCAAACTGTAAGGAAAACAAATCTTTTTCTTAAAACTCTAGAACTCTGGGACTAATAGTAAAGAATCTGTGTATTTGGTTTACAATTTTTTTAAAGCCAGGGTCAGTACATGGATTTTTACATCCTGTTCTGCACTTTTTTCATCTGGGTAAAATGGTTATGAAGCTTGAGACTTTTCAATGAAAATCTCATTCCTCCAGAAATCAATTTAAACCTAGGGCAACTATCCTGGAGTTTCAGCAAAGCATACACAGGTTAGGTACTGATTTTCTGGCAATAAATTCTGAGGTACTTAAGACTTTCTAATAACATTTTGTATTGGAAGCTTTTTTTGTACAGGCTACCAACATGGCGACTGGTTTCCAACAGAGTAAATTGCAGGTAGTTACAATTAGTTACAAATAAACAAGCTATATTAGTGATCCTCAATATCAATCTGTAGATTAGTTACCTTTAAAATCATCTGTACAAATTTTAAAATAATAGATTTCTCTGGATCCCTCTATTGGAGATCTGGACTCACTTGGTAGAGAACAGGTGTGGGGCCTTAGAGTCTATTCCTTGTGTGTATTTAAATAAAAATTTACTTCCAGGTGATTCTGATACAGAGCTAAGTTCAAGAACAGGATAAATGATAGTAAGATTTCACTGAATATCCAAATTTTACTCCTTTTGGACAGTTCTGCCTAAAGCTTTTCTGATCAGTAATAATTTCCCACACTTTCAGACTCTGAAGTAGAGCAGCCAAAAATTGTGTTACATTTGAGTACTTTGCAATATGAACAGAATTTTTTACATAGTATCAAGATGTATTTTTCATGTTCTTGATAGTTACTCAAATTAATAAGTATATTTCAGGAAGTGTCCTCAATGTATCAGGCCCAGTACTGTCTTTGGAGCCCATTATCACGTATGTACATACAACTCTCTTATGAGGTGAGAATTGAGATTTTCCTTTTACCAAGGAAGAAATATAGTTTTGGGGAGGTTTCATAACTTGCTCAGGTCCATGTGAATTGTATTGATAAATGCTGAAATTGCTAACTATTTATAATTAATTTTACCTAATATACATAAATTATAGCATCTCTTTTAAACAGTATGTTATTTCAACAACCCAGAAGTGTGCACTTCAAAAAAGTCCAAGAAAACCTTTTCTAGAAATAGAATGTGGGAGTCAAAATTCATGTTGTTGATGAACCATATCCTACAAATTAAGTGAGGTCTTGCAAGGTCTAGAGTCTATATTTTTATGAAGAACAAATTAATCTTGTTAATTTTGATGTGCAACAGAAATATCATTAAAAGAATTCTTAATATAATGAGGTCAATTTGAGACAATTCCTTGTCTTGGAGTGAGTTCCTTTAAAAATAGGTTAGTGTTACTGGCATCTCTCTTCTCTTTTCCTCAGGTTTGAGATTAAAAATTCTTAATAATATGGTACTATTTTAGAAGTTTATCTTTACCATTGCAAACAAAATTATACTGTTTGAATACAATGAACTAGATCCCAAATATGAGAAAGATATAAAAAGATTTTGGTGGCTTCTAACAATCAGATGACTATTTCTTCTCTTGAAATAAGGTTCTCATTCAGACCAAATGATGTAGGAACATCTCATATAACATAAACATTATTATATAAATTCTTCTACTGGATGACTTGGTACTATTTTAACTTTGTACCTTTTTATTATGTACATTTCACAGGAGCCTTGTCCTATGCTGAGTTGGGAACAAGTATAAAGAAATCTGGTGGTCATTATACATACATCCTGGAGGTCTTTGGCCCATTACCAGCTTTTGTACGAGTCTGGGTAGAACTGCTCATAATACGGTAAGAGCATAAATAAGAAAAAAAAATATTAAGGAAAAATAAATCCATTTATTACACCCTTTCTAAATCATCTTAATTATTTTTAACTGATTAGGAATATGCATGTCATGTGACTATGTTGTAAACATGTCTGTTTCAGAGTTTGAAATGTGTATGAAATACCACTGTCAATTAATGTGTTTATACAGTTTTGTCACTGGCAGTAGTTCTCTAACCATGCCAGACTTTTAAGGTAACTAATTTTCTTTAATGTTCAATTATTCTCTGACATTTCTAGAAAATATGTTGACCTGAAAGGATATGAAGCATGAAAATCTGTCTTGATAAATCATACCTTTTGGCTGGCCAGACAAAATTGAATGCTATGCTAATAGTTTTCTTCTTGTAGATTACGTCGTTCTTTAACTTTACTGTGTCGTGACCAGGAAACTTCTGTGCCTAACAACTTAGTGTGTCACTGAGTTTACTACTTTATAAAAAACAAAACAAAACAAAGCTTGAATGACTCACTTCCTCTTGTTAGGCAAATCAGTGAACTATAGTTGCGAAAAAAAAAAATTATTGCTGTAAGATACATTCTCCTTTCTAATTATCTTGGCTTAATTTCAAACCAAATAGTGCTAAGTCACTCTGAATAGCAAATTTCTTTTAACTTTTGTGAGAAATCTTTGATGTCATCTGAGAAGTGTAGAGTATCATAGTTTCTTAAGGCTGACTGCTACCATAAAATTTGACTTGCACGTTCTGATTGCAGAGTTTAACAGAAATAACTGGAGAAACTTGCTCTTACTGTAAACTTATCAGACATATGCAGCTGAGAGCTCCTGTGAGCTTTTATCCTAACACTTGGGGAATAAGGGGCAAATGCAGAGCTAATAAGTGTTGATTTGACACTAAGCATGACATGATTTTTATAGTTGTAGGTATCTCTTTTCTAACAAAGAGCTTAGAATTGTATTTACTTCTAGAAGTCTGTTCTCATTTTAGACAATTCAGCATTATTTTAAACTCATTATAATGGAATAATGATAAAGAAGTATTTTTGTCCTTTTCTAAAATCTGGGATTTGCCTGGGATATATACCTTCTGCTCTTTTTTGATTTATTTGAATACTACTCTTCAAAGGCTAACTTAAATCCTGTCTTTTCCACAGTTCATTTCCTGTTCACCGTAGTTTATATTTCTTTTCTCTCTTAATTCTTCTGAAAAAATGCAGGGTCTCCTTCTTTGACATTCAGCATATCTTGTATTCTTACTTAGTATTTCCAGGTGTCTATGTTCTGTTTCTCCCATCAGAACTGTAGGCATTTGAAGTACATTAAAACCAACTCTCACACTTTTTGAAACCATTATACTTCTTAATCAGTGTCTTGAGTATCACAGATAGTAAATTCTTTTTGAGCGGCAGTATTAAATTCTTTTCAAGTAATTTAGTTCTTTTTGACCTGAGGTTTAAGTTTCAATATTTTGAATACAACATTCTCAGTATTCAAATGAGGACACTACTTATTCTGAGCATTGGCCTATCAGGATGGTGGGCTTTGTCGTCTGATATAGCTGCACTTGAATCCCTCTTCAGCTATGTATTTGTTGCATGGTTTTGGCTCATTGCTTAGCATTATAATGAACATGATCTCTCTGTTCACAGTAGCACAGATACAGTGCTCATTCACTTATTTATTCATTCCTTAAACAGCTACTGAGTGCTGAATGGTATGTTAAAGAGATCTTAAAGTGGAATGAGCCACAATTCCTGTTCCCAAGTAGCACATAATTAAACTTTAGTTTAACTGCAAAAGATCTGCTTCATGGTGTGTGTGTGTGTGTGTGTGTGTGTGTGTGTGTTTGTACTGACAGAGGAAATAGCCTAGATATATTCTAGAAGCTTATTATGAAGGGTTCATCTATTCCTTTGTAATAAGGGACTCACAGTGCTTGGTTGGTCTTCCAAATAAGCAGAGTAATGAATGACTTGAGGATTGACAAGATGCCTAGGTACTTTAATATTTCTCATCTGTTGACAGCACCCATGGTGTCTAAATACTTAAAAAGATGCTTCAGACTTGCCAGGAATAATCTGTAGAACACAGATTTCAAGAAAAAAAAATCATACATCTGTACATAGCACGGGTCATTAGATTGAACTCACGCATTAACCATATATTTAAATATTTATTGGTTTTCTACTTAGGATAGATACTATACTAAACACTGGGGATAAACAGTGATTAAAATGGACAGAGTCTTAGAGGTGCCTGGGTGGCTCAGTCGTTAAGCATCTGCCTTCAGCTCCAGTCATGATCCTGGCGTCCTGGGATCGAGTCCCATGTTGGGCTCCTGGCTCTGCTGGAAGCCTGCTTCTCAGTCTCCCACTTCCCCCCTGCTTGTGTTCCCTCTCCCACAGTGTTTCTCACCGTCAAATAAATAAATAAAGGCTTAAAAAAAAAAAGATGGACAGAGTCTGGAATTCATTTAGCTCAGGGTCACATGAGGGAAATAGTTATCAATCAAGAATCACATACTGAGGACAAAGTTGCTACTGTGATCAGGACCCTGAAAGGGAAACCATGAGACTCAGTAAGAGGGTATACTCATGGAACTCTCACCCAATCAGAAGATTAAAGGAACTTCCTTGAGCGTAAAAAGATTGAACAAAGATATGAGGTATAAAAAAATTGTCAATGAGTCGAAGGGGCTCCTGGCAAAGAGTATTCCGCTCCTTCTAGTGGGAAGAAGCAAACCAAGAGGAAGGGAAAGCTTAGACCAGATGGAGCCGTAACTAAAGGATTTTGCATATCCTGAGCATGTTTTGAAAGCACTAAAATGATGTGATCAGATTTTAATTTACACATTAAAAATTTGCAAATGATGAAGAATAAGAAAAATCATCTTTTGAGGGTGGAAGAGGAGAGGGTCTTTAGGAAAAGAAGAAAATCAAAAAATATATTGTGCTGTCTAGCACAAGCAGGCCGACGTTGGAACATAATGGTGGTCGGTTTTTCTGACAATCTAGGGATTGAGCATGGGTGCTGAGTAACTATGAGAAGAGAAGCTGAAAGTGAAGATTGGTATAAGAAATTAGATAATTCCATGAATTTGCCTGTGTATCTAAAGAGCATGCATTCTTATAGAAGTGTATTTAAAGGCACATGCAATTTTCTCTTAGAAATATTTGAAGAATTAAAGTAGAGTGGTTTGTTACCTCTTTTATTATAGACCTGAACTTATTTAATTTTCTTATCTCATGCGTATTTTCTCAGTTGTGTAAAATCATAACAGCATTTCTATTTTTCAATTTATACTTTGCATCTGAATGTTTCTATGAAATTAAAAATAATCACTTGGCTCTTCAAGTTTTTGTCTGTACTGGAAAAAAATAGGCAGAATACAATGTCAAGATCAAAAGCATATATTTTCAATGAGCACTTATTAATAATAATTTTTGAAGTTGGGTTTTGTATTCATTCTCCTGACCATGCTCCATTCATTAGCACTGTACCCTTACCCCATTTGTGCTTGTGGCTGGAGTTTAGTTGTTGACTTATTGAGAAGACTGCTTCTTGTAAAGCCCAGCTCCATCAGGATCTCAAATAATAAACTAGATTTTTAAGGGGTGGGGGGAGTCAGATCTAGGAAAGCAGGGACAAAATTGATAGGACCCAGTCTTGCTTTCATGCGTTTGAGAAGTTTAAACTAACCACCAATGTTATAGGTCATATTTTACTCAGAATGTCTGGACAACCTAATCAAATATGAAGTTTGGAAAATTACAAGATTTTATATTTAACATGTTCTTTATGTTAAATAACATTACCTCAAGGTAGAAAAAGTTTTAATGAAGATGCTATTTGTTTTTTCCTTTGTTAACCTATGTATTTTTTTTTTTTTTCCCAGCCCTGCAGCCACTGCTGTGATTTCTCTGGCCTTTGGACGCTACATTTTGGAACCCTTTTTTATTCAATGTGAAATTCCTGAACTTGCAATCAAGCTCATTACAGCTGTGGGCATAAGTGAGTATCATAGATATAAATAAGAAAAGGAGAAAAAAAAAGCAAAAGTGATTAATGACAAAGTTTTTGTAGACTTTTTGCATGATGGGACTGCTCTCCACATCCTGCTCCTTTGGCTTCCGTTCCTTGTCAAATTCGTGTTAGAAAATAAAAGAAAAAAATAAGTATTCAGAGTGATCCCTGGTATTACATTACATGCTAGTTTTGCAGTGGATCAATAGATATGATGGGTAACCTTCTGATATGGTCAAACAAAAACCACCTTATTCGTAGAATTTTAAAGATGAAAATCCAATGATTTTATGGATTTTTGAATTAGAAATTATCCTTCCTCACTGATAATATGTTGAATGATAACTCCCTTATCTTCCTGGAGTGCTGTTCATGTGTTGGTTGTGTATGTTGTATTTGTGCATTTTATAGTGTTAGCAGGCTGTCACTCTCAGTGTTGTAGTTTTAGCTGCCCATTGATGGTTATGATAAAATTCTACTCTTAATATGTGATTATTAGTACCACTTCTTAGATTAGGTCTCCAGATTGGGGATTTATTCATTTTTATCAATGTGCCCAAATATTAGACAATTTTTGAAAGAAATAAAAAAGAGGAAAATACACAGCATTACATAAGTGATATGAAGCCAAACCTTTGAATATTATGGGAAACAATAAATTAAGACCAGGTGCTAATTAAATCAGTTTTAAGAATCAATATGGTCATGTTTGAATAAGAACTATCTGGAAATAGTAAACAACGCAAGAATAACTGAATTGCATACTCATGAAAAAAATTTCAGTTATGCATGGCTAAAGTGTTTCAATAGAACAATGAAGAGAACAATGCACATTTGCCAGTAGAGAGCTGAGTGTTTTGTTTACAGGAAAGAGTTAATTACATATAAAAATATTTTATGTGTAGATACATATATTTTTGAACTTAGGCTCATTCTGGATTTGCTACTTTATCCACAAAACATGCACACACTATTATTCTGTGAAATCTTTGAAGAAAGACAAAGAAAAATACTCGAGATAGACATTTCTGAGTTCTGGAGGGGTAATGGCAAACTTAGCTCATCATGTCCTTAACATACACTACAGATGTGAGACTCAGGGACAAATCGTTGAACCTTTCCACACCTCAGTATTCTTACCTGTAAATCCTCCGGAGTCTTCATAGGGTATTTTGTGAGGATTAAATGGTATTAACCAAGACAGCATATATATAGTGGTTTGGGTAATGCCTGCAAATTCTTAAGAACAAATTGCAAAATGGTAACTATTGATACTCCTGTGAGAAAACATCATTGGAGGTTCCATGAGACCAAGGGCCTTTTCACTGCTGTATTTCCAGCCCTTCACATCCCTCCTTGTGTGGTATTTATGTTTAATAAGTATTTGTTGACTGATTCTATAAGAAGAGGTCGAAGAATTTTTCTCTAGCAGAAAAATCTACTTGTTAAACCTGGAGGACTACATATCTTCAGTTTCCTCAGGCAGTAGGACAATGGTGGTAAATTAAACAGAATTTGTTCAATGTGATCTTCGGATCTAATACCATGAGCTTTTGTAGGATGAACTGTCTTAGCATAGTAGTTACAGCTTTGGCTCTGAGGGCAAACAGGCTGGAATTGAAATTTATTTGTGACAGTTTCTTAGTTTTGTGATTTGGAGCTAAATATTAAAACTTCTTAAGCATTACTTTTATTTATCGGTAAAATATCTGTGGAAAGATAATCTGTCTTAGATGACTGCAAAAAGATGAAATTATGTCAGATTTTTAAGGCCTTTTGCAAAGTGCCTTATCTGTATAAAGTTCTTGATAAATCTGGTCTCTCACTTGGACTAACAGCCATTATTATAACCATTATATTCTTGTCTCTCAAATGACTGAGGCAGAATCATACCGTGATTATTATATTTGAAAAGAAGATAGAGGTAATGTTTTTGAGAGGTTTGTAAATTTACAGTAGAAGTTTTTAAAAACTATATCTATCTTAGGCACATCTATTTATGTATTTATCAACTTAAGTAAAAGAATTAGCAAACTTTCAGTAAATTTTATGTAAACATTTACAAGTCTGCAAATATTACCTGCTTTGGACTTCAAATGAGACGGATAATCACGACATACTACTACATGCAAGAGTCTGGATGATTCCTTTTGTTTATCCCAGTGCTATTAACTTTTTCAAGGGAAAATTTATATTTTAGAGGAGAAAATGGAAACTGTTCAAAGCAAAATTTTAATGCAATTATAGGTGAGGCTAACTAAGCAAGTTGTGGTTTACCAAATTCTTGTATTAGAGATTCGTGATGGAAGAGTTCACAAAGCCTGAGTAAATCTTGAATGAACCTGAACATTTTCTTCATTTTTGCCATTAGTTATAACACTAGCTTATAAATCTTGATGTTCTGTAAGTTTGCAAGCTTGAGATGCTGAGGAAATATATTCCTATAATTAGAAGCACTGAAAGAGAAAACAAGGAATTGGTATGACGCAGTGGTAGGTAATGTAAGTCAGTGGCCTCACTGGGAGAGTGAGACCTTCTTTAAGAAGAATTTAGCTTTAATGGAGCAACGGGGTGGACATGGAGATGGAGAAGGAGAAATTTACCTGGGGCAAGTCTCTCCTATTCTGTATTCCTGAAAGTGAGTATCAGTGATTTTCTGCCTGTGAAGGATGGAAGGTTAGTCAGGTATGGAAACAGAGTTTAATTTCCTGGATTGCTTCCTTGTATTTCTTGGGGGAAGAAAGGGTTTGTGGTAGTTTGAAATCTCTAGTTCAAGTGTAGAAGAAGTGCAAACCTGAAGGATCTTGCTAGAATCAAGTCACAGAAGAAAAAGGGATTTCAGGTTTTGTGAAATGTTAACCATCCATTTGAGAAATGATAGTGGGGTAGGAGTGGGTAGTTACAAAATACTCATTTATCTGCCCTTTGTTGAAAGTACTCGAAAGCACTCTGTCAGTTTAATAAGGATGGAAAGCTTTTGCTTATCTGAACTCCTATCCATTTGGGTAAAGATGTCAGGCACAGGGAAGTCTAGCTGGAAAATCTTACACATTCACATGAGGTGCTCTCCTCTAGCCCAGTCTGAACATCACACCTGTGCAACGCCAGCAAGTTTCCCTGCCCATGGAGCTTTGGCAAGCACTGAAGGATGTTCGATATGTAAAATGATATCCAATCTTCTGTTCTGGTCTCCTAAAACTCTTACCTATATAGTATACACTTGAATGGCAGAATATTATAACGAAAATACTTTCTTTAAAATATGAAATCTCATCCTAGATCCATTCCTAACAGTCTCCGAGCATCATTTCCTTCCTCACTTACTGTGGGTATAGGTGAGTAAAGAGCCCCACCCTGCTTCTCATGCCTGGTGGGAATAATTAGAAGAAGCAAAGAAAATAACACTAGTGACTGCATTATAAGAAAAAAAAAAAAAAGCCAGTTCTATATCACTATACTTGCTTTTCCCATACCCTTCTCCTGGCATCATTGAATTACATGAAAGAAAATAAAGGGTCAGTTCTGGGCCAGCATTTCAAATACAGCGTGTGGAGTGGTTTTGCTTAAATATTCTGAAGTTTGGCTCTACCCACCCCTTTTCTACCATACCTAGGTAGATATACATGGTATTGAAATATATAAGCACTGAAAATCAATAACCATGTCCTTCAGGAGGCTGACAAATAAAATGTAGGATCAAAGTATCTTGAAATCCTAGCCAAGATAAACATGTATCTTAGCAGAGAGGCAGGGCCACTAGGAGTTTGAAGGAACTAGGTATACTAGTGAGATCATGTGTGTCTTTTGAGCTACTTCCTCATTGTTACTTGTGAGCTCGGGATGAAAGTGTGGACTCTGAGGTCAGTTTACCTAGGCTCCAGGCCTATCTTTATGCTTACCTGTGTGAATGTAAGCCTGTTAAATACTAACCCAAGTTTCAGCTGCCCATCTGGAAGCTAAAGCCAATGATGGTGTCCCCATCATAGGGAGATGAGGACTAGATAACATTTTCCATGTAAAGTCTTTGTACAATGCCTGCCGTATAATAACAGTTTATAATTATTTAATGCTTACCAATTTTATTCTTAATATCAAGATCCTCGACATAGACTGTCGGTCCTTTTTAAAGATGTTTATGGCTAGAGGTGTTTATCTTCTCTGAAATCAATACATCCAGGAAATGACTGCTAACAAAGAGAAAGGTAACCCAGGCAGCTGTTATAAAAAACCATGGAATGATCACTTTAACCCACCACATGGCATACCTATGGTATTCATATATTTTGTCAATTTAGCATGAAGCAGTCAGAAGTAAGAAGCTAGAGAGAACCTGAACCTGGGAGAAAAACCCGTATATCCAGGCTCAGTAATCTTACTCAACAAATCCAAAGACGGACTTGAATTATAGAAGTACAGAAGAAAACACTTGCCAGTCCTTCACATTTCCTTAAAGATCCTCTTCAGAAACAGCTCTCTTCAAATATGTATTTCTTATCTCCAGGATTTATACATATAGCTTTCATGGCTGGGTTTCAGTTCTTAGAAAACTGCACTATAAATAATTAAAAATTGTATCTCCCTGTATTTTTATTCTGGTAAGAAAAAAGAGGCCAAAATTAATATAAATATAGTTTTTAATGTGTGAATTTTGCATTTATTATTCAAAGGAAGTAAAGCTGGGGGGGACCACAGAACTTACTCAAATTTCTTTTATTACAATGTGGGTAGATAGTCTATAAAAAACAAAATAGATATTATTCGTTGCAGAAACCCAGAAAGCTCTTGCATTTTGTGAATCCCAAAGCCCCTTTTCAATATTGTTGGATAAGCAACATATGTAGACTTGAATTTCTGTGTAAAGACACATGATGAAACAGCATTTCTAGTCACTTGAGGACCTTCATGGTCCCTCTATACTGGCTGCCTTGTTACTTGTTAAGCCATGTACTTCAGGGTCATAGAGGTACATCTCAGCTGGAATTGGGTGTACCAAATAATTAGTATTCCACTCATTATTAAGTATCCTCCTTCACTTCCTCCTTCCTCTCCTCCCCTTCCCTTCTTTCCCTCTCCTCCCCTCCTCTCCCCTCTCCTCTCCTCTCTTTTCCTTTCCTTTCTTTTCCTTTCTCTCTTTCTCTTTCCTTTGTCCTTTTTTTTTTTCTCTCTATACAACAGCTCTTTTCTATTGTGAAGTACTTTCAGAAATAGTGTTTTAGGTTTTAAGAGCTCTATTTAAAAGGAAACAGTGCTCTTTTGTTGGTGGTGGGAACATGAGTCCAATTTTTTTCAGGCCAATGCTGAATCTCCTTAACCAAAAAAAAAAAATGCTTTTCATATGATGACTCATTTATCACAGAGTCATTTGCATAAAAAAAGAAAAGAATAACTGGATGATGAAGTGGGGAGCAGGGTTGCATTAAATTATTTTCAGCACATAAGTGCTTTATGTTGGAGAAAGAAAAATAATTTTATTTTTTATCCTTCTTCTGATAAAGTAAAGCACTCTGCCATTAACAATAGACCTGTCTTTCTTCATGTGTTTAGCCTCAAACATAGGTAAAATATTTCTGTTATCCTTCCATGGAGATCATTTGAGGTTCCAGCCTTTCTGATCATTCTCATCATTACTTCTTTGAAACATTTCATCATTAGTAAACCCTTATTTAACTTTGTATGGGATCTTCTGATTTCTTATTTTCCCATCCTTGAATTTTTCAAAAGTTAAAATTGTTTTACTGATTTTCACTTAAAATGCTGCATGTTCATTATAAAAATTATTAAATACAGAAAAATAAATAAAAATAAAACAATGCAACATTCTGTCATCTATAGATACCTTCTGTTAGTGTTTTGGTAAATATTCTTTCAGATTTCTTTCCTTTCATTTCTCTCTGTCTTTGTGGCCTTTATCTCTCTCCCTCTCTGTCCATCCATCCATCCATCCATCCATTCATCCTTCTCTCTGTAACTTGCTATACTGATCAGTAATATATCACAAACATCCTTTCATGCGATACATATTTAGCATGATTTTTAAATGGCTGCATAATAAATCATTAAAAAGCCTTCATTTAGGGGCCGAGGTTATTTTAAAATTGTTGCCATTACTGTATATGTTATGTGTTGGTAACATTTGCACTGATTCTAAAGTTCTGAAATGAGCTAGTGATTATACAAATCAATGGAGACTATGAAGATAATCAATGAATGTATAACAGGAAAACGTCCTATTGCAACTTGACTTATAAAAGTCCTGTGTGTTGTTTTGTCCCCTGAGAAATATGTTCATACATTTGTGTTATTTGTTTAGGAGGGATACACCTTTTTAAAAAATAAAGCTTATAGATGATAACTGCAAACGTCAGGTAGTTTGCAGGAAGTAGCTTTGGCAGGGGTGGGAGAGCTAACAATGAATATAAACTTCTGGAAAGAGCATTAAGTTGAAACCTGTGGTCTAGAAGAACCTCTGGAAGTCATTCCAGCTGAGTATAGAAGTCAGGTCTTAGAATATCATCATTCATTTCATGCCTTCTTAGCCAAAAGATAGTTTGTTTTAAACTGAAGATCCAACTCATTCATTTATTCAACAAAATTGTGTTGATTATCTTCTTGGGCCAAGCATGGAGATGGACACTAGCAATACAGAGATAGAAAATGCTTGTTCTATCCTCCCGGTTATCATGGGCTACTATGTGGGGAAAGCGGATGGTTGAGTGTTACTCCAGAAACTGTAGATGGCATCGTTTAGAAAGTCTGCTGGCTTCACACTCAAGGTGTGCCCTAGTCCGGGAACACTTTAGGACTCATTACATATAACTCTTTTTGTCTAAGTCTCTAAACACATCTTGGAAGCCTATATTTTTAGGGTAGGTTGAAAGTATCTCCTTCATGTGCTGATTAGAAGGTAGAGTGGAAAACCGGAGTGCTCACTAGGGCTAGTTCTGAGAGTGAAGAATAAGGTACTAGCCAAATTCTTGACATCTTTCTTGAGTCTTTCCATTCTTTTCCATTCTGGCAGGTGCATATGTGTAACATCATTACAGTAGGAAAGAGTTACCTGACTTACCAAGCTGGAGAGTCATGTTCAGCAATTTGATTACATATTATGATGACTTCAGGATTTGGTTAGAAGATATTTTTATATGATTTTTAGGAAACTATAATATATGCCCACTCTATTGACATAAACAAAGACCAAGAAATGAAATTTTACTGTCTGATAGTTTTATCCAATCTTCTCAAACTTCAATGTGCATAAAAATCACGTAGACATCTTGTTGAAATGTATCTATTAGGTCTAAGGCAGTGCCTGAAATTCTGCATTCCAAAATGCCTCCAGGTAATGCCAATTTTGCTGGTTAATGGGTGGCATTTGAATAGCAAAGACTTAAGATGTCTTCATGCCAATGAGAATTCACCTTCTGTAACTTCATCTGTTTGTTTGCAGCTGTAGTGATGGTCCTAAACAGCATGAGTGTCAGCTGGAGCGCCCGGATTCAGATTTTCCTAACCTTTTGCAAGCTCACAGCAATTCTGATAATTATAGTCCCTGGAGTTATGCAGCTAATTAAAGGTATGGACTGGAAAGCAAATGCTTTTTAAAACACGTATCTGCTTTTGATCTTTCCTAGCACTAACTTTCACTTGTACTAGCAGAATCTCTTAATTAGTCTCTGTTTGTGGAACTTAGACTCTACACTGTCATCTAATTGATTTGAAAGACTGCTGCATTGGGGGTGCATTGGTATTTACAGCTGAATGGCAACAAGAGAATTAAGACTGGGCCAAGCAACAAAATAAAGCATCAGTGAATTCTCTCCAAATAAATGCTTTGGAGTGAAAACTCAAAGTGGAAAAACAAATCTGCCATTAGTTTTAACTACAGATAACCATATCCTCTTGTATTTACTTTAAAATCATTCACTAATAGTAATAAAGACTAAAGAAAAAAGGATAACTGGAAAAGAAGATGACTAAAAATTCTTATACTCTATGGCTATTATAACTTTTACCTTGAGAATAGTCTTGAATGAAGGGAAGGCAGATATGGGAGTAACATTCCTAAAAATCAAATATCTGACCAAAAAAAAAGTTGTAAAAACTTAATTTTTATTGTTACATTATTTTTTTCTTTTCTTTTTTTTTCATTTTATTTTATTTTCAGTGTTCCAAAATTCATTGTTTATGCACCACACCCAGTGCTTCATGTAATACGTGCCCTCCTTAATACTCACCACCAGGCTCACCCAATCTCCCATCCCCTTCCCCTCCAAAACCCTCGGTTTGTTTCTCAGAGTCCACAGTCTCTCATGGTTTGTCTCCCACTCTGATTTCCCCCAACTCACTTCTCCTCTCCATCTCCCAATGTCCTCTGTGTTATTCCTTATGCTCCTCAAGTAAGTGAAACCATATGATAATTGACTCTCTCTGCTAGACTTATTTCGCTCAGCATAATCTCTTCCAGTCCCATTCATGTTGATACAAAAGTTGGGTATTCATCCTTTCTGATGGAGGCATAATACTCCATTGTATATATGGACCATATCTTCTTTATCCATTCGTCCATTGAAGGGCATCTTGGTTACATTATTTTTAAAGTAAAATATGCATTTCTATGGGAATGTAATATCATTTGGGGGGAGTATTTGTAGAGTTGACTAATAGGAAAAGATGAGATGGTTGAGCAGGGGATGTTATTTAGAGTTACAGCTGTTATAGGGAAGAAGGAACATGTGATTCCTTGGATTCAGTGGAAGTTGTTGGAAGAATAGGAGGTCCAGGTGAATTGTTTAGTTAACAATGGGTTTGATAGTGGGAATTAGGAAAGTAAGATGAACTTATGAAAGAGTGACATATAACTTGGGCATGTTAAGTGTGTAACGTTTATATTGATATGGTCTGTTCCAGGAAAGGGAATTTAGGGAGAAATTTTGTAAAGTTGCAGGAGAAGAATTACACAAGACAAAAGGAAACACCAAAATTTAGCAAAATCATGGCTGATGGTAGAGACATCAAACAATAACACTGAAAAATCTGTCATTCTGTAGTTAAGGAAAGAGAGCGGCTATGGTCGATTTACTAATGGAAGATCTTAGAACTCTCTTGGCTAAATGGTTGTATCAAATCCAGCAACTTCAGCCAACTCAGAGTAAACACAATAAAGATTTTAATGCTATGGCTTACACTAAAGAGAAGACGTGAGCTTGCTCTTCTAATTCACATTGGCCGCCACAGAGCTGGCCTGCTCATCTTATCTGATCCCTTAGAAATGTAGAGAACATTATTAGTGCTTCCTTTTTACAGGCTAACTCTTTAGTCTTTTCTTCCATTTTTGTAAGGCATTTTTTCCATTTTTGGAAAATGCAGAGACCCTGACTCATTGACCCTAGTTAAGTTCTAGTTTAGGTTACAAAAGATGATATACTATCCTTTAAAACTAAGATTTTTTTTTTTTTTTTGTCTAATGTAAGACTGTAGTCATTTTTTACCATCTATTTATATATGAATGTGAGATGAGGTGAGGTTTCCCAAATGTTATTTTATTGCAAATTCCTTAAGAGCAGAGATCATAATGTATCTTTTTCAACACTAAAAATAGGATGATCCTTTAATTAATACTTATGATACCTATCAGTGTTTAATGTGATCAGGCTTCCTTTTTAGCCCACCTAACAGAGAACGGCAGTAAGAATATTACTATATTTAAAGTAAATTTTAATATTTTGGAGAATTTTCTTAGCAAGCATATTTACTCTATTAATACAAAATGTTGGTTTTTCTTTCTCTCTAACTCAATCACAAATTATTCACATTAATTTGTAACTCTAGGAAGAGAAAAACTTTACTAATACAGAGTACATTTATTTCCACTCTAATCAGATCCTGAAAACCGTTGTATGTTCTGCATTTACTTATGAGGATTTGTTAAACTTTCCTTTGAATATTATGACTCTCATATTTTTGAGACCTCTGTTATTCATCCAAAATATTCCTGAAGTCTAGAAAAGCCTCTCTTTTGTAATACTCTCAAAATGACTTTTTTTTTTTTTTTTTTTTTTAGGATTTATGCTTTAGGACCTGATCTTTAATAAAGTTTGGTTTTTCTTATTGCTTATTCAGTACTCTACTCTTAGAATATTATCTCTTTAGGCCAAGGAGACCATATGTCATGATAAAAGAATATTCAACAAATGTTTTTATCTGAACTCCAGTATTTATATTTCCCCTCTATGAAGATACAGAGATGTTTTAGTAAAATAGGCATTTTTTAATTCACTCTGTCATTTTTTTTAAATGAACTATGTTTTGGAATTGGATACTTGGAGGCAAAATTATTTATTTTACAACTCAACTTTCTCCATTTTTGGTCTCAAAGCTCATACATATTGTATTAATATAAATTGTTGTGTGTACAACCCAGGCAACAACTGAGGTTTCAGTGAAGAGAGAGCATCATAATCAGATACATTATCTACCTTCCAACCCTTTTTTCCCCCAGATAAACAATGGATTTTATTTTATATAAGTGTATCTCAAATATTACATGGGACACAGTTAAACTAAAAAAATGATTTCTACAGAAAAATAACATAGTGATAAATATTCTGAATCTTTCATATACTCACCCCTCTTTTATTTACTTGAGTGAAGACCAATTTTGAAGCAAAGTCACATTTCCCATTTGGGTGATCTCATTTGCTATTTTCTTTGAGAAAGAGACTTTTTATGCTTAACTTTGAATATTGTCTAAGTCTGAATTTTTTTTAATCATCCAAAGGATATATAAGAAAAGGCCCAGTATGATTCACAAAATAGGGAAAAATGTTATGAATTAAAGCATTCAATCTACATGTTGATGTAAAATTTGCTAAGATCTATCTGTTTCAAAATTCAGTATAATTTCTTTTCAGTGTTTCTAGAAAGAAACCATGCCATTCTCTAAGAACGAGTCAGTGGACTTCCCCTGTAAAGGGCCAGTTAGTAAATATTTTCAACTTTGCTTGCCATACAGTCTCTGTCACAACTACCCAACTCTGCCATTTCAAAGTGAAATCAGCCATAGACTGATAATATCAATCCTAAGACACAACTAAGTGGGCCTGGCTGTGTGCCAATGAAACTTATTTTTCAAAAGAAGCTTTGGAAGGCAGATTTGGTCCACAGGGTTTTGTACCACTGGGCATACTTAATAGACTATAGGGGAAAACAGAAAACAGAATGAAAGTTAAATGGTATGAGAAGGTGGTTCTTGGGTTTTTTGCTATCTTCTCATTGAGAGTAGACCTGTTGATATTTCTTTCCAAGTGTAGATGCCAAAGACAGTCTGCCCCAAGATGGGCCACTTTGATATGAACATTATTTTGAGTTAAAAGCAATAAAATCCCAGCAGATTCAGGAAAAGCTCTTTACCTCCCCCTCAACTACCTGCTTATACCAGGAAGAGAGCTAATAACAGAGATTCCTCTTTACTTAAGAGACTTGTCTTACATAGTAGGGCAACTTTTGTTTTCCCAAACTCTCCTTCTACCTTCCCGCTAATGTTCTTTCTCCTCTTTATACCCTCAGAACCCTACCCCTCTTCTTAGTTTATGTAACTATCATATTGCTTCTCTGTCTTCGGAATTTCCATCTCTGTGGGGTTCCCCATATGTACAGTATTAAATTTGATTTTCTCCAGTTAATCTGTCTTATGTTAGTTTGATTCTTAGTCCAGCTAGAAGGATCTTGGAGGGCAGAGAAAATTCTTTTTCCACAACACAATATTATCTTTAGTTAAAAGAATTCTATCATACTCCTATCAACTATAGCTTACAGAGTATTCTTTAGTCTCCTTTCATGCTCAAACTCTGTAAGAGTAGAGGCATGCTCAGACAGGAACCATTTTGCTCTTTGCTATAATTTTATTAAAAGAGAAATATGAGATAGCATTAATGGTGAGCAATATGCTTTTGGGACTCCTCCTCTAGAGTGGACAGTTTTAATAGATGAATCTGGCAATGATCAGGGAATGAGAAATATAAATCTGAAACAGTATAGTTCATCCCCAAACCTTATATTTCTTTCTCCATGTTTATGGTTAAAGTATGAATAATAAACAATTCTTTGAAAAGTCCTAAAATCTTTCTGTTCTCATTGCAGGGCAAACACATCACTTTAAAGATGCCTTCTCAGGAAGAGACGCGAGTATTATGGGGTTACCACTGGCTTTTTATTATGGAATGTATGCATATGCTGGCTGGTAAGTTGATATCTCTAGATCTGGTGGTTTGCATGTTTTATTAATTCCTTCATTTACTTTGGTTAAGTGCCAAGCAAGGTGCTAGATGAGTGTGAATAGCCACAATCCAGCACAATCTGCCTTTCTTGAAGTGGGGAAGATGGTGCTGCTTCCTCCACCTGGCCAGTTACTGTGCATATGATGTAATGTAAGCATAACTGAGTTTTTCAGTCAAGTTGACCATTAGATTTAGCCTGATATAAAAAACAAACACATCTAGGTCTTAATGTTGCCAAAAGATCTGTTGCAGACACTAACTCGGGAAACAAATGGGGAGCCCTGGTGCACATTGCCAGTGCCAACTGCTCCATCTTGGGGAATCCTGAGGGGACTGGGCAAATTGGAAGCTCCTGGCTGGGCTTGCCAATATCGTTGCTGAACAAACTCTGATGAACTTGTTGCTGGAGAAACTAACAACTCAAACAATGAGGGTTTGGAAAAGAGAAAGAGAGAAATTTATTTCAGATGCTGGCACCTGGGGGAGGAGCAGGCTCAAGCCTTAACAACTGACCTCTCCCTATAAGATGGACACCTAGAGTTTTACAGGGAGAGGTTCAGGGTGGGAGGTAAGTGCAAGAGCAGACAGGGACATAATCATGGGTGGGGTGGGAATGTGTTCAGCCCATGATCATGGGTAGGGAAGAAGATGTGTGGGTTTGTGGTCTTCTAGCATTCTGTTGCTATCAGGACTTTTCTGGTCTAGTGGTTAGAATGTTCTGGTAATTGCAAAATGTCTTTGTGCCTCAAGAAGGTACAAGAAATAAGCACAATAGGTTTTAGTTAGAGCATGAGTTAAGTGGTTTTATTTCCGGTTTTAACTGTTAGGGTCTACAACTGAGCAAGGGAACTCACTGACATTAAGAACCAAAACAAATCACTTATAAGTCTGTATCAGTGAAGATATAATAGTGCCATGAGAAATTAAAGATTAATTTTTTGCTTGTCAAAAGGTCTTTCAGTTGAAGCTCCAAGGGTATTTGTGAATAGTGATTAATTGATTTTTCTCTACTTTCCCATGAGAATGAAATAATTCAGATATAGAAATAAGTAAGATGTTCTCAGGAGGTAAAATGATACTCTAAAAGCAGGGTAGGAAGAACTAAGATAGTGAAATCAGGTATACTAGATAATGTTACATTAAAGGTTCTTACAAATTCTTTAAAATTTCCTCAACATTTGAAAAACAAAATATGCAGCAAAGATGATTAAAATCACTATACCATGGGTTCATTTCCTTTGTGCATGTTCAACTGTGATAATCATTCTGGTTGATGCATTAGAACTTTGTATTTATGACTTATTTTATTCAGGAATTTGAATAACAATAATCATGGATAAGAGTGATTTTTTTTACTAATTAAATTTTATTGACCTAAGAGTCAGTGGGAATGACTGTTACAAGAGAGCCCACTAGGTAGAAGAGTGTTGCTTAAACATCAAAATCATTGTAGTAAAATTATATTTCACTATTTTGGAGTAATTAGTAGCCAAATCTCTTTTTAAAAATCATTTATAGAGCTAATACTTGTAGAGCTTTAGCTGTGAAAATGTTCTATGAACATAAAAATAATATCAAAACCACACTAACTCAAAAATTATACAAATGCATTTAATATAGAATCTAGTTACTTCTGTTTCTTTAGTTTTTAGATTCTTACCTTCCAGCTAGTGCATGGAATATAAATATATGTTTCAAAATAAATAGAGTATTTACCCTATTAATCTCACTGAATTGTGAAAATATAGCATTATAGGAAAATTAAGAGGGTATAGGAATTTAAAACTTCAACCTAGCTTTTGAAGCAAAGCACGTTTGAAAGGTGTTAGGAGATTGTAGCTCTAAATGATATAGTATAAAATATTTGTATATTCAGGAAATATTCTTACAGCCATTGTGTGTAAGTATTAATCTTGAATCACACAGTACATTTGAAGTCTTTTTATTTTTGTCCAAAGCACAATGTGGTGCTGGGCAGGGAAGAACAGAGTTGTGATCACAGGGTTAGTAGCAGAATCAACTATTCTATGGCTATTCAGCCTGGATCAAAGCTCTGGTGCCCTGAGGCAGCAGCCAAGCTACTGGGAGGGTAACCCAGAGACCAGAGTGAAGTGGGGAGGTGGTAAAAGCTTTCAGCTAGAGCCAAGTGTTGGGAGCCCAGCAATATTCAATCAGGAATGTGAAATGTGGAGATGGTCACAAGGGAGATCTGATTAATTCTATTGAATGAAGTTTCTTTTGCCTGTGAGTGTTGTGCATCTGTTCCCACGGAATCTTAAAATATTCTTCTATCCAGCTCACTCTCCTGCTTCCAGCACCAGATATTCAGGTCAGCAGCTTCACGTTGAGAAAACCTTCTCTACTTCTGTCAGCTTTGGAGGGCTGAGAGAGTTTTCCATTTCTCTCACTCTTTTCACTTTGAATTATCTTATTATCTTAATATTTCATTTTATTGATGCTGAACCTAAAGTGCTACTCATGTTAAAATCATTTAAAAAATAATTTAGGTGATATAGGCAGACTTTATTTGACAATTCATGAAGTGGGCAGTCTCTACTTTAAAGAATCTCCAAAACCATAAAATGGGGTGGAAGACAGGAAGCTTTTATAGGATAGGCTTTTATAGAATTCTTTCAAAGAATAAGGGACAAGGAAGAGAAAAATAGAAAATGAACAAGGAACAAGGAAATAAGTATAGATCCCAGAGTTGGCGTTTGGGGACTAAGTGGCCCCGTTTTGGGCCTAGAAATATATTTCAGCACTCTCTTTACAGGGAACGCGGGGGTTACGTGAACTGTTGTTAATACTCTTACCCATGTGATCGTTCTCTCCACTCCCTATTTTAAAGAAGAGAAAACTGTTGATTTCTCATCGTTTCCTCATCCATCTCTAAGGGAGGTTCAATTACAGTGCTGGTAATGAAGGATGGGATTTTAAATGATATGTTATCTGATACAAGTGCCTCCTGCAGAGACAGAAAAGTAACTTGCCTTTCTCTATCAGGGTGGTTATGCTACCCAGATGCTGCTTTGTGGATAGGTAGAAATAATCTGATTGTTAATCTATGGTCGTCAGTTTTAGAAAAAAGGAAGCCATGTCTAGAAGAAATAGTCTGTTGGTTCAGAGTTCCAGAGGAAAAGCTAATGTCTGCTTGTAAATGGAACAAGATGGAGACGAAAGGAGTTCACAGAGAGGGTTATTCATTCCCTTCCCAAATGTGATCCTGCCTGTCTGACCTCTCTCTGTCTTTCACAGTATAATGACAAGACTAGATGGTGGAATTATAAATGGGGCACCGTAAATGAGTCTTCACTCCCGGTGCTGCTGCCCTGACAACGTTTGATGCAAATAAAACGTGTGGGGGGCATTGCAAATAAGTCAGACAGAAGCAGCTACTGTCATCAGAACTTAACCACCTAGGGTGTAAGTAAAAGCAGCGAGACCTTTGTTTTCCAGGAGGCCTTGCTCTGTTAGCAATTCAACTTCTACATGGTGAATTCAGGAAAAAGACCCTGCCAACACTTGGGTCTGAATAGAGCAGGCTTTTGGCTATGAGGAGTGCAGAACCTTTTTAGAATGATGAAAACTCCTTCACAGAAACATGATTAGGGGGAAAGAAATCATTAACCCAGCCAGGTCACAGAGTTGGGTCAAAGCAACTTTAACATTATTGCTAATGTCTGCATTCAGAGAGATATGTCTGCTAGTCTTCCTCGTGGCCCAAGGGAACTCAACCAATTTCAGTCCCATATCCTGATCCAAAGCTAAATATTGCTTCGTGGGGTTTTTTAAAACTGTGTAATAGAAAGTTTTTCAGTGTCTTTTTTCCTCCCTTTTAAATCCTATCCTCGGTAGATTTAGTTTTTCTAAAGCACCTGCTGAGATTATTTTGTACTATTGTGTCAAATCTAATCTAAAGAATAAGCTTCTTTTTAAAAATAATTCACATAGTTGGGTACTGGAATGCATTGCAGGCTTTGTGGTACTTTTTATACACCATTATGGAAAAGCTGAAACAATAGATCTTGTGAACGTTCTCTAGAGGCCTTGAGGAGATGTAAAGCAAGGAGAATGCTATGGACTCATTGCTGGAGACTAGGAAAGCATAAAGGTGTATTTCCCACAGGATGTGAATGTTTGGACCAAAATAAGAAGCTTTCTCCTTCATACCCCCACCCTGCCCCAAGCCCTTTCCTTTTCTCTATTCTGTGGAGCTATGGCAAGTATTTGAAATTGTGTTCCTTTTTTCATAAATATTTCCTTTCTTGCTATAAACATTGTTGGAAAACACCAGTTTTTAAAACAACTATTAAGAAGGAACTGGATTATTTTTGACATGAGAAGCCTGGAAACATTTCTGTGTGTGCATGTGTTTATTTTATGTTTTTTTTTTTTCTTTCTTTTTTTGCCTACATGTTCTTCCTGTACTTCCCATTGCTTAAGCCTTATAACAAACACATAAAATCCCTCAGAGTGCATATCCCAGACATAAGTATTGATTGTTGCTTGCCTTCCTGGTATAACCATAGCCTCTATCTTTAGAAAACTTACTTTCTAGTCATTAAAAAATACCCTTGATTGCTAACTTTTTAGATCACCTTACTGCTCCTGTTCTGTCAGCTATTCAAATATTTCTACTTAAGACATAGTCCTTAAAGTATTAGATGCCTTAACCTTGTTAAAAGATAAACTGAAGCCTATTAAAATGTTTAAGAGTTTATTTGAGCAAAAGTTGATTTGAATCAGGCAGCATTTCATCTAGCAGATAGAAAGGAGCTCTGAGGAACTGTACAAAATGAGACTTTTATAGGCAGGAGGGAGCAGGAACAAAGAAGTTTGTGTAGGCAAGAAAGCAGGTTGGTTTTTCAAGGTTATTTTCATGTAAGCAATGGCGGGGATCTGTCAGGCAGATTACCTAACTAGTACCAATCAAGTGATTCCTGATTGGTTCAAAATTCCTTTACTGGGAGAGCAGAAACTGTAATTGTCTTGGTTTGGTGCTGCAGGGCTTAGCATAAGCACTCAATTTTGGACTTATTGTCTAGTTTTTGACAACCATGAACGTCAACTTCCTAGTTGTGAATTTAGATGTGTTTTTATAAAAAATGAGATAAAACAGGTTTTCTATTTCTTATTTTAAATTATGAGATACTTTAAATATATTTAAGTCTGTTGGGCTAATACTCTAGCCATTTGGTTTTAGGTAGAAGAAAATTCATACTTACAGACCCAAGCTTCTGTGTACATATATAATGGCTGTTTTACCTTCTGCAGAATGGTAAGAGAACAGAAGAATGTTTTGAAAATATGACTTTTTTATTTTGTGGAAATGGCCTAAACCTATCAAATGAAGAAGTAGAAATGTGTTTGTCTTTATATGTTTAGCTTTCCCATTATGAGCCCTTGGTTTTCCCATCTTCATAATTCAGTCATGTATGAATGCTTATTTGAGGAAGGAATCTGCCTCAACTGTACATCTTGGAACCTTGAAAAATGTTGGCTAACTGAAAATAATAATAATAATAATAATAATAATAATAATAATGAACTATAAAGGCTTCAAAGAATCTCCAGCCATCCCTTTTGATTGGAAAAATAAGGGTGAAATGTGGTAGACATTTTCTGGGTGGGACGAGTAGAGTCACAAAGTGAAAGAAAGGAATCTGAATTTCTCTAGGGTCATAACTTTAGGGTAATAGTTGTAATCTTATGAAACTTGAAAGGTAAATATTGTATGTCTAGAATACCTTTTGTCATATAAGGGGCCCATAAAAGTCTTCAGAACTTGGCAGAAGTGTCTAAAATGTTTTGTTCTTTACTTATCCACTAATAATGTAATGACTAACAATGTGTCAAAAAACAACTTCATAATCTTGTGACTTGAGGTTATTTGGATGAGCATATACCAGAAAACAGTGCATGGAAAGGAAAAAGTGCCCCTTGAGAATCTAATATCTTTGATACCATTGTCGGTTCCTACTTGCCTTTTGTGTTTATATATTGCCAACTCCCTAAAACTGAGAAATGCTATTGTGTTGTAATACTTCTCTTGCCCTACAAGCTTTGACTGACTTGCCAACACCACTAAAATCTGGATTCCTGGAAGCCAAAGGCCATCTGGTACTTAAATTCTGTTCTTACTGCTTCTGCCACACTTTGCACTGTAAAATATTGTACATTGTTGCTCACACCCCTGTGCTCATGCAGTGTACTGAGTCTCGACAGTCCTTACACCACTTCACTAGGCCTAGATGTTAAGCATCTTTGGAGACTCCACTTGGGTGATGCCTTCTCTAGAAAACCTTCCTAACTTGCCAGTCTGGGTTAGGCCTTGTCCCTGGCTCCCATTGTGCCCTGTGCTGGTCCAGCACTGAAGCCTGCACTGTGTCCCACTATTCTATAGGCTATTCCATAAACTGTGAGCTCCTTGAGGAGAAATACTGTGGATACCCAACTTTGTCTTCCACTGAAACATGATAATCTCCTATATTGCTGGGAGTGCAAAAATGGGGAAAAAAATAGCTTGGTAGTAAACATACATCTACCTGTAACCCAGTGATTGTATTCTGAGTATATGTTGAAGAGAAATGATTGCATGGTCCCCCAAAAACATGTACAAGCATATTTATGGTATCTATTTATAATAGCTCTAAGTTGGAAGTAATCCAAAACCATCAACAGTAGAATGGATGGTGTAAAAAAATGTGCAATGTCAACAAAAATAATGAATTATTGCTACATAAAACAGCATGGATAAGACTCCCAAAGAAAAGTCCAGAAAAAAAGCCAGACACACACAAGTAATTATTGTATAGTAGTAATACAAGCAAATGTTTAGTCTACTTTTTTTTTTTTTAAGATTGTATGTATTTATTCAACAGAAAGAGAGAGAGCACAAGTAGGCAGAGAGGGAGAGGGAGAAGCAGACTAAGCAGAGAGCCTGATGGGGGACTCGATTTCAGGACCCTGGGATCATGACCTGAGCTGAAGGCAGACACTTAACTGACTGAGCCACCCAGGTGCCCCAATATTAGTCTGTTGTGATGAAACAAGTAAAACTGATTAAAGGTGATAAAAGTCAAAATAATGGTTGCCTTGACAACAGAATGGTACTGACTAGAAAGGGCCATAAGGGAAACTTCCAGGGTTCTAGGAATGTTTCATCTCTTGATCTTTTTGTTGGTTCTATAAGTGTATAAATATGTGAAGATTCATCAAGTTGTAGATTAAGATTTGTGCACTTTACTGTTCATGTTATACCTCTATAAAAATTAAAAAAAAAAAACTCCATACATACGGTTTAATAGAAAAATGATTTGTGGGAGCTTTGATTGTTGGAGATTTTTATCTTATAATAAGTATTGGTTTTTAAATATTTTATAATTCTGAAGTGGAAGGTTCATGTTTAAAATTTGACACTTTGGGTTATAATTGTAAAATATATTGATGATTTATAATTCATTTATATCTTTTTAGGTTTTATCTCAATTTTGTTACTGAAGAAGTGGAAAATCCTGAAAAGTAAGTGACCATATTTACTCTGAAATATTTATGAGGAATAAAATATAAGTTTAGACAGTTGAAAAAACAGAGCTAAAGAATGTCCTCAGTGTGGGCTATTTAACTTTATCCTTTTCCTCCTCATCATCATCATTTTCTTAGGTAGATAAATTTTATTTGACTGTGTTGTAAATGAGATGTAAAAAACTTTATTGTATATTCCACATTCAAAACTAAATTATCTGATAACCTGAAAGTATAAAATAATAAAGTTGTATTTTAGGTAGTCCATCTCATGAAAGCTTGCATACAACTTAACATGGACTTTTAGTTGCCCACAAATGTTCCATGAGACAAGAACTCTAAAAATTGATTATTTTTAATAATTCATGTGAATTTTTTCATAACTGTTATAATTAAAGAGAATAATGCAATTAATGAATAGCTGGTTATTTGAAAGCCGAGAAGTAAGTGCAGAATACTGTAAGAACTTGTAAATTTTTGTAGCTGGATGATTGCTTTTACTTTTTGTTTGTAGGTAATACTTTTGATGATGAGGTAATTTAATGATGATTTATATATTGCTCCTAAATTGAATTATTTTTTAACTCAGAACTTAGATAAGTGAATTTTGTGATTTGTATAAAAACCTTTGACTCTATACAGGAAAGCAACATAATCTATGGGCAGAAGAGGGAAATTTTAAGAAGTGCCGCATAAGATATGGACTCAATTATAAAGTAATTTAACTCATCTGGCATTCATTAAACATCTACCATGTTTCAACCATTGTGCTAGGAACTTCTTACCTGATGAATAAGACTTGTGTTTATGATTTCATGGTCTAGTCAGTTAGTCGAATGTGAAAACAAAAGAAAGTAACATCATATGATGCCATAATAGATTTTTAACTTAGTTTGACAGAGTAAAAGGGTAAATACTTAACTCTAAGGAGATGTGCTTATTATGTAGAGTATCAAATGATGAACAGGTGTTTTTTGGTAAAAAGGAGTGAGGAAGGGTGAGGGTGAGAGAGAGAGAAAGAAAAAGGGAGAAAGACGTTCAAGAAATAAAACATGTACAAAGGTGAGTCAGTGTGAAATTGCCTAAGTATCAGAGAATTAATTCAAGTGTTCACAGTTCACATTAAGGTAGACAAAGAAATTGTGGCACCAAGTATATCAGGAGGGAGATGGTAAGCCGGTTAGATCTGGCCACATACCAGGGTTGTCAGAATTTTGAACTTGCAAACCAGCAATTGAGGTTAAAATGATGTTTCATACTATCTGATTCAATTGCTATGCAAATCAATATGTGACTTAAACATGTGAAAAGGTTATTTTATTGAGAAACATGAGAAATTTATGACAGTACTTTCCTATTTATAACTGGGATTGTGGTAGAGAACACACATTTACCAGGAACTAGTTTCTTTTAGCATTACTTTGAAATAATAAGCCAGTTGATGACTCTAAATCTATTAATTATGGAGATAAGTAGGTTGCCCCATTTTTACTGTTTTTGAGAATAGTGTGTAAGTGGTAACACAAAGAACATACTGCTCATACTAGATTTTATATATGTATATGTAAAATATGTATTGAGTTTTCATTTTATAAAAGAGATTACTATGGTTTATGTCTTTTAAGTCTAAAGATTCTTTAAAGAGCCCAGTTACTTAAATCTAGTATCAGAGAATATTTCTTGGGGGAAAAAATGGCAAGCTATAGATCTGTGGATGGGACCTATAGCGTGATATTTTCTATATGGTACATCAGTGGCATAGATATAGTTCAGATTTTCTTGTAATGATATTTAACAGTTTTGGCTTTTTTTTTTAAGGATTTTATTTATTTATTTGACAGACAGAGATCACAAGCAGGCAGAGGGGCAGGCAGAGAGAGAAGGGGAAGCAGGCTCCCTACTGAGCAGAGAGCCCCATGCGGGGCTCAATCCCAGGACCCTGGGATCATGACCTGAGTGGAAGGCAGAGGTTTTAACCCACTGAGCCACCCAGGCACCCCGATATTTAACAGTTTAAGTCCAGTTTTACTTGCTGTACATTTAATAGTATTGTATATATTAAACATATTTTAAAATTATTTATGCCATGATTACCTCTCTTGAAAACCTCAAGAATTTCTCTCTCTCTCTCTTTTTCTTAATTTAAGGCTCTTAGTTTCACATATTGATGATGTCTGTGATTCAATATGTACAACTACTAGAGAACAGTTTCGTATTGATTCAGTGTTTTATCATTGTTGTTGCAAAGAAGTTTCAAAAGAAGTTTCAAAAAAGTGAGAATAATTACAGCACTTACCTCATTGGGTTGTGGTAATGAGTTAATGTGTACAAAGTACCTAGATTAGTGACTGTACTTTTTAACCACTACATAATTGGTTGTTGTTACTGTAATTATATTCTGATTTTAAGAACAACATAAAGTATTACTCATATAAGAGTATTTCCTTAATTATAATATGCTAAGCAATTCTCCTTCTTCAGTATTTTTGAAGGAAATATGAAAAATTATTTCATACCATATTGAAGCCTATTCCATACACTTTCAGGACTGAAATTGAATATGCATTTTATGATCTCTCCTCTTGTGTACAGATTTTGTTTAATTTTTTTATATTTAGAGAAAAAAATGTATTTTTAGAGATAGAGAAAGAAATGTATTTTTAAAGGAATAAATAAGGTATGAGTGTCATAATAATTTAAGAGTAACTATCAAAGCTGATTTAGACTGATTATCACTGGTTATGCCAGATGAAATATTTTCATTTTCTGGAAATCATGATTCTGCAAACATCATGAAATATTTCTGGAATACTTTTAGTTTGATATTTTAAGGTCTTAAACTAAGGAACTTCTCAGGATAGATTAAGTAAGAATCTATGGAATTTTAGGTCAAGATAATTAGTAATTGCTAAGACTTATGCAGAAAAAAGAAACCTCTGGTACCTTTTGTTTTGCTATCCTAGGTACTTGAGTATTCAATTTTTGCCCAAAAGATTCAGTGTAAAACTTAGCTAATATGTTTATTCTCTCAAAATCAGAATGTGAGAAATACACAAAATCCCCTTAATGAGAAGCAAAGATTAAATTTGTACTGTGTACTTATCAACCAAAGAAATTCAGGGTTTTAAGCAATTTATTCAGTGACTTAATTTTAAAAGTAACATTTCCCTATAACGTCGACAATCAGTCCAGGTCTTTAAAAACTAAATCTTATTTTTTAGACACAAGGAAAAATTTGGGAAATATTTATGGTTGAATATAGAGAACAGATGGTAAAATTACGTGAACCTCGTCCAGATGTATAATTTGTATTATTTTGTACATAGATATAGCTCCAAAATATCTTTAGTTACAAGGGAGAGTAATTATAATTCCATCTCCTTTGTGATGTGCCAAGATAAATGTGTTTTCCAATCAGTCATGAGTGCATGTGTCCAGGTGTGCTGCAACGTGTATCTTTCTGGCAGCTGGTGAAATGCACCTTTTACTCTCCTCCTCCAACTAGGCAATACAATTTTGCTAAAATTGTGACCTAATAGGAAAAGTGATCATTAATTTATATCACTGAAAATAACAATGTGATTTTAAATATACAGAATGTAGAATAAGGTTCCATGATCGCAATTGACTACCCTTTACATATAATTTAATTTCAGTGGAAATCTTTCAGATTACCTAACGCCACTCCATGGAGTAATTCCAGAACTGCTACTACAAGCCTGACTTATAGAACAGTTCCCTAAGTGTTAGAACAAGTGAGAGATAAACTGGGAGATTAATAGAAGCAAAATAACCAGCTCATGACTTCTTTCTTGTATTATGTCTCACTTTCTCTTTAAAGCTTGTAAAGCACTAATCTTAAAAATTGGGGCGAAATTCCTGCTAAATGTTTACATTTATAAGGCTATAAATGTTCCCAGTGTCTTTTTATAATGTTTTTTTCTCTAAGAGTAGTTTTGGGTCAATGGAAATAGCAATCCTTTAAGAGGCATTTAACACATTTATGTAAAATGACAGTAATTATCATGGAAATTTTTGTACCAATTTGTAATTATCTATAACATGGTGGCTGACTCCATAAGAGTAAAAATAGTATTTTGAGGAGCGAGTATGTTCAAAGTTTGGACCAGGAAGGTGATAGGATCCCAAAGAATATCTGAATTTTGAAATTTCCCCCATCAAATGAAATGCCCAGTAGTAGTAAGGATGGCTAATGTGTACCTTTGTTTTTAAAGAGTAAAGTGTTTTTCTTTGTAAATATAATGAGTTTTGCCTTATGATATTACTTGCATGGCGACTGTGCAATCTATCATTGTTCCCAAAGTTACACAGTGCAAAGAACATATCATTGAGATGTATAATGTTTGTAATCCTGCTCTTTGATTGATCAATCATGTCTTGTGTTGATGAAAGCCAAGAAATGAATTGCTTTACTTTGACCTTGGGGGTCTGAGATTAGTCGGTTTGTCTATTAGACTTGTGCCAGTGTTCTTCTCACTTCATTTATTCCCTCTGTCTTCAAGAGTTGGGAACAGTCGACTTGGTGGAAGTCAGTAAAGCTTGATATCATCAGTCATTTTTAAAGAACAGGCTATCAACATGGTCTGAATAATCAACTTTAATAGAAGGTTTAAATAATCAAAGTGTCATGTTTAATTAATACTTTGCCTGCTTCCAATTTATATTAATTGATGCCTGAAAGTCATCACACCTTGTACCAATGATAACTTAGAAGAAGAGAAACTTGGCTTGGGAAAGATGTCCAAAGACCTTTATTTAGGGCAGTGTGATCGATCAGACTGGATCATAAAGGGTCCATAATCATGTTATTTGCATTCAGTTCAGATATAGCCATTTTAAATTCTTAGTATATGTGTTTCTATCCTTATTGATTTGTATTAAGTCAGTGTAAAGGCATTTCTTAATAACAGTATACTGTTTTATAAGCCCTATTGTTTATAGGACATGTAAAACTGTTAAACTGATTAAAGGCACAG